GGGGGGAGGAGGGGACGGGGGCGGGTCCGAAGGCTGCAGAGGAGGCCTCTGCGGACTCGAGAGCCGGCGGAGGAGGCGGTGCACCGCCCCCTCCTCCAGGCCCCTCTTCCCTCACCCCACCCCCGGACCCGGGGCGCGCGCCGCGCAGCAGCCCAAATGGATAGGTCCGTGCGGGCGGGAGGAGGCGCGGGACCCGGTGACACCCCTGGCGGCTGATGCTGCCTGCGGGTAACTGGAGCTGAGTGTCGGGGCCTCATTTCTCCACCATCTCTGCCACTAACAGGCTCTGCCCGTGCCCCTGCCTCTTTTCCCCGCCCCCTTTGGATGCAGCCCTTATTTCTGCCTCCATCTCCATTTCCCCTCTTATCATCTCTATTTCATCATCCGCGGTAGATTGGGAAAAGTCTCCGACGACGGCTTGTCTACCCTCCCCGGCTTCTAACAAGGCGCCAAGTTCCTATGGACCTTTAGGCAAGCCAGGTGGACACCTCTCCTTGCCTCTGTTTTCTCATCTGTGAAATGGGAGCGAGAGGCCCCTTAATGCCTTGTCACAGAGACATGGTGTGGGAAGATCAGTTTCTGTTCTTTATACCCCTGCTGGGACATTTTACCAGGTGCTTCTGGGGACACCTCTAATTCTGTTTCAAAGGCTCTCCAAACCCCTGTGCTGCTCCTTTTCTGCCTCCACTGTCAGCATCAATCACCCCATCTCCATCATACCCCCATCCCAGGGCCTGCCCATTGCCTTTTCCAGGCTTGTCCTTGGGGCTCGGCCACCACCAGGCCCTGTTTTCCGCAGCTACCGCAGTGTTACTGTGGGGCTTGCGATCTCAAAAGCTGGGCTTAAGTCCCAATTTAGATACCTACTGGCCGCGTGACTTTGGCAAGGCCTTAACCTCTCTGAGCTGCAGCATCTCCAACAGAAAGGAGGGCGACAGCGGAGCTCTGTCCATCCTAGATTGACTATAAGACACACGGGTTATGGCAGTGGGCACACAGTTTATGCCTCCTCCCAGAGCGTCCGAGGCTGCCCCAGCATGAAGACTCAGAGAACTGCCTAAAAGAAGGATCTGAACCTCACAGGATGGACTGGTGCAGGTGGGGGTGTCCCCTTACCTTCTGCTTCCCTGTTAACAACCAGCTGGACCACCTAATGACCTGTGAGAAAGCAGGGCCCTGGGTAGGCAGGTAAATTACTGAAGGCTTTATTCCACCTCTACTTGCCTTTTGTCCCAGACTCCATAACCACCAACTTCCCCACACACACTTAAGCCTGGGCCTCCCATTCCAGAGGCTTTCTAAGCCCCTATAAACCTGTCCCCCTCCCTGTCCCCTCTCTCCTCCCAGCCCTGCTCCTGGAGCTCTTCCTCCCACAAGCTGTCCCTGCACAGCCCCCCCTCCCCCGCCCCCGAGCACTGCTATTTGAGCTCTGCCTGGCCATTCCAGATTCTGGCCTGCCCCTCCCTCTCCGCACCTGTGTTTTGGAATGTTTTCCTTCTCCTGTTTGATAGATCAAGTGCCATCTCCTTCAGGAAACCTCCTTGGCCCCTAATCTGGGTTAGATGCTTTTTCCTGTAGTTTCACCCTGACATAACACCTGTCACATAGCACTGGGGAGCTTCTTTATCTGCCTCCCCATTAGACTCCAAGGAAGCCTGTCTCTAGCAGGTATTATGTCAACAGTACTGAGTACCAGGCATGTGAAACACACTCAATAAACCCCAGCTATTACTATTACCCAGACACAGAGCCTGACTTTATGTAGGCCTCAGCATTTTCAGATGTTTGTGTAATCTTACCTGCTCCTTTTCTCCTCCTGCCACACATTCATTCTGCTCCTGCCACACATTCCTCTTGACTATTCTTTGACTGGGCCAAGCATACTCTTAGTTCAGGGTCTTTGCACTTGCTGTGTCCTTTACCTGGAATATCTATAGATTTTTGCATGGCTCAGTCCCTCACTTCATGTCTCTGTTCAGACATCACCTTATTGGGAAGGGCTTCCTGATCTTATACAAGTAGCCCTTAACCTCCCCCCACCAGCTCATTGGACAGTCCCTTTTTCCTAACCTAGCTTAATTTTTTTCCATGGCAGTTGTCACTTCTGACATATATTTTTTGTTTAGTCCATCCCCCCACCCCCCCGTCTCTCACTAGCATATCAGCTACATGAGAGGAGGAGTTTTGGGGAGATTTGTCATTGTTCTACATTCATGGGCTAAAATAGTAGTAGGCGCTTAATAAATGTTTGAATGACTAAAGTACATTATACAATATCTTTATATTCCTCAGACCTTTTGACATAGTCAGTGCTATGATGTTTCTCAGGTGTTGGACTCTGTTACCTTGACATCACTGATAGGCCTCCATTACGTGGTCTTTGGACATTGCCTAGATATTGGAACGTTTGTGTAACACTCCTCTGGCCGCTGGTGGCAGCAAGGTGTGGTCCATAGCATGCCTCAGAGTCAGGCAGCCTTGGTTCGAATCCCAGCCTCTCTACTTCAAAGCTCCATGACTCTGGACAAGTTAGTTCCCATCTCTGAGCCCCAGTTTTCTCATTTGTAAAATGAGGGACAGAGAGAGTACTGACTTCTTAAGGTTGTAGAGTGGATTAAATGATGACGTATGTAAAGTGCTTCACATAGTGCCAATGTGAGCTGTTTGATTGGCCGTAAGAGTTCTGCAAATGCTCTAGTGAAATAATTGATCTCCACCCTCACGGGAGGCTCAGTCTCACTTATTCATTCATCGCATGTGCCGCGCCTCCCTCTGTGTGCCACTGTGGTAGACGCTTTGGTGGTTGCAAGAGGAATCAGACTTTGCGGCCTCTGTTCGAGGAGGAAAGGTCCACTCAGAGCTCACCCCATGCGCTGGGGTGGGGGCAGGTGATGCAGGACAGGTAGAGGGAGGGGTGCCTGAGGGCAACAGCGAGGGCTTCCCCAGGGGAACTTGTTGGGGTCACACCCTTGAATTTCTAGTCTAGGGATGGGCTCTCTTCTGTTTGCACGAGGTGGGGCAGTGGGGGGAATTTCAAGGTGTATTAATTTTTTTTTTTTAAATCCTCACTGAAGGATATTTTTTCCATTGCTTTTCAGAGAGAGTGGAGAGTGGAAGGGGGATGGAGAGAGAGAGAGAAACATCTATGTGAGAGAGACACATCAATTGGCTCCCTCCGGCTCATGCACCAACCAGGGCCGGGGATGGAGCCTGCAGCTGAGGTACGTATCCTTGGCCAGAATTGAACCTGGGACCCTTCAGTCCCTAGGCCGATTCTCTAACCACTGAACCAAACCGGCCAGGGCAAATTTCAAGGTGTTTTGAGCAGGAAATAACGTGCTCCAAGTCATGCTTCAGAAAGACCGAACTGCTGTAGTAATTTTTGCCATTCAAGTGTTTCCTTAAACAAGAAGGGAAGAAGGACCAGCCTGTGAGCGGCACGTGGCAGGGACTGAATAAGGGCACCACTGAGGGTGCGGGGACGAGTGTGCAGACTTTGTACAAGGACAGAGGTTGGCAGCCCGGACTTTGGAGCAGGCTGCCTGGGCTCTAATCCTGGCCCTCCTGGCCCTCCAGATGCTGCACTTATCTGTGCCTCAGTTCCCTCATCTGTAACATGAAGGTGGTGAGTTCATATTGCTAAAGAACTTAGAATGGAGCCAGGCACACACGTGTTCTATATGTGTTTGACAGTTTAAAAATAAGACAGATGATCCAGGGGCAGAAAAGATGGGGAGAGGCAGACAGCTTAGGGCAGGACTGACGGGACTCAGGAAGAGGCTGAACATGGGACAAAGAAGAGGAGTCAGAAGGGATGGAGGTTTGGAGGCTGAGTCTCTGGGAGAATGGTGCCCTTGTTAAAAGGAAGGATGGAGTTGACATGTTGGTGGGCTCAGGCTGAGTTTGCGGTGCCTTTGAGACACCCAGGTGGAGATGTCCTGTAGGCAATCGGATAGAGGCTCCTGATGTCCAGGAGAGAGGTCCCAGCAGGCCTTCTACAGCTCTAGGCACCACACACTGTGTTTTAGGGGAATTTCACTTCTCTTCCTACCCTGCAGCGAAACCCTGGTCTCATGGAGTTGAGCAGTGTGGCTGTGGAGGACTGGACTGGATTTGGGGGTTTGGGACTCTTTGGTCATCAGTATGTAACCACAAGTAAATGGCGCTAAGGAGAGAAAAGTGGGGAGAGCAGGCCCAAGGCAGCACCTGAGGGTTGGGGAAGACAGGAGGAAGTTCTTTCCTCCTCCAGAACTTCCCTTCATCACCTCCACCGGACTGTGGTGAGTAGAGGGATTCAAAGATCCTAAGTGAGTGTTTTCAGGGCTGCTTCTGGGGGGCTGGGAGGTGTGGGCCCAGCTGTTTCCTCTCTCTTCCTTTCAGGCCTACGCCATGAGGGCCCATCCTGCTCCACTGTTCTGCTCTGGTTGCCGGCCAGGTCTGTTAGGGACAAGTGCCAGGGAGGGGAGGGGCTGAAGGTGTGGACAGAGGCAATGCTTCTCATTTTATAGCCATAGAAATAAAAAGCCAAAGATGATGACATACCCAAAGTTACATG